AGCAGGAAGAGTTAGAAGAGGAAATAAAAGGTCTTGGAAAAGATCTCCAGCATGTTCAGCAGAGTCTGACAATGAATGATGAAGAGATCAAGTACCAGAGAGAGAGAGTCAGGTGTTTAGAGGAGACTCTGACAGCAAGAGAACAAGAGCTTAGGAAGCAGAGTCAACTCCTGAAACAAATAACATCGGCTTTGCGATGGAAAGATGGCACAAAGACCCTACAGAGACAAATCCAGAGACTCCAAAAATGGGAGGAAGAAGAAGCAAAGAAGAAGAAAATTCTCCAGGAGAGAGACTGTTCCTTGCAAAGGCAGAAGGAGCTAACCCAACAGCTGGAAGCTGAGCGCAGAGCAAAGGGGGAAGAACTAGAGAGTATAACTGTGATTTTGAAGCAGACTGAAAGCAGAGAAGTGCAGTGGAAAGAGAAGGCAGAAGCTCTGGCTCTTGCCCTTGCCAACAGTGAAATGGCCAACGGGGCGTTGCGGGCAGAAACGGCCGTGCTGCAGAGCATGGTTCCAGAGAGGGACACAGACAGGTTTCCTCATCAGGTAGGCATTGTGTTGAGCATCAGTCACCTAGGATGCCTATAAAGGATTCTAACGATGTATTCCTGTAAACACATGACCTGCATGGCCAAGGAAAAGAGGGGTGCAGCCAGCAGGCTTGCTTCACCTGCTAGAACGTTTTCTGTCAAGTCCAGAACTACTGAAAGAATTATGGAGCTTGGTGTTAAAATGAAATCCAAGTCCAACAGCTGGGGATGGGTCATTGGCTCTCTCCTGCCTAGCAAGCTTAGCAAACATGTCTTGGTTAGGGTTTGGCATGGAAAGGAAAGGGCACAGCTGACCAAACTGATGTACTAAACTTAATGGAATTCATACCCTTGTCTGATATGGCTAAAGGCTTCATTGCACATTTAGGATGTACTTGTGCTACAGTCCAAAATGCACGAAGGCAAATTTGTGTGGATTTTTCCAAGGGGATCTGGAGAAGCTTGCCTTGGAAGAGAGTGTATTGTTTTGGCCTGTGGACCAGGAGGAGAGGAAGGGACGTAGCACTGTCCATTCCCAAGTCAGGTCACTCTCTCCAGCTTGTTGATTCTGGCCCTTCTAACCTTTGTGTAGCACCAGCTCCCATATCCTCCTGTCTGAATACCCAGCAGGTTGTTACAGAAGGGGAGCAGCTATTGTGGCTCTCAGAGAAGAGACTCCTGTTACAGCAGGTGGAATGTCTGTGTCAAGCACTTGCAAGGCTGGAACTTGAGAAGTCTGACCTCAAGGAATACAATTCAGACCTCAGGAGGACTCTTGAGCAGGTAAAATGGCTTTTGCTACCTTTGCAAAGCCTCACACTCCTCTAGGATACAACACACTCCCACAAACAGCACTCTGCTGGCCTCTGTTTCCTCCCCTCTCCCACTTTACCCTGTGGACACATGCTGCTGTATCCTCTCTCTCTGTGGCACCCAATGCCTTTGCAAAGTGCAGGTTCACTCCAGTACCACCCATCTTGCCCCAGTGTCCCCACATGTGCACATTTGACACTCTTGTGTCAGGAACTGTTTCCTCTTGCTCTCTCATAGTCTGCTTAGAGTGCTTTTTGCCCCCAGCATTCTCTGGTGCAGTTAACAGTCTCTGAGCAGAAATCTCCCAGCTGGGATGTCTGGAGGTACTTCTGCTCCTTGCTGGGTGGCAGGTTTCTGTGACTTTCTCTATCCACTGTGCAGGTGGAACGTGAACGAAGGAGACTGAGGAGATACTGCAGAGGTCTGTCCCAGCCAGACACACAGACATCTCTCTCTGACCAGAACAAGGTGAGAACAGACTCTGACTTAGTGGGAACAGGGTCTGGCCATATTGGGAACAATGGCAAAGCCCAGTGGCAGCAGCACCAGTACAGACCTAAAAGAAGCTGATTATAGACCAGGGTGCTGGCCAGACTGGAGATCAAAACAAAATCCTTGTTTCCTTCACAGGAGGAGTCTCATGACTTCTGTGATCATTGATGGCACTAGTGTGGAATATATTGTGTATTTTATGGTTTTGTAATAGTTATATGCTGGTTTTATTATTGTATAATATCTATTATATAGTCTTGTTATGTTTTTATAATAGTTGTATATATAATATTATATATAGTGTTTATATTTATAATCTTTATAATCTATTTTATGTACTGTATATTGTTGCATGGTTTTTATTATATTAACCTCTTCTTGGAAAATGGATGATATCCATGTTAAACTTGTTAGAAAGTTGGTGAGCTGCTCTGCTATATGCCTTAAGCAAATATTTACTCATCAGGTCTTTCTTTTTTACAGATTGCCATAAAATAAACTTTTTGTAAGAAAATAAAACCAAAAAAGCTGAATGTTTTGGTATAATGCATTTTCAGGTATCTTGTCTTTTGTGTAAGCTGCTGCAAAGACCTCACAGGTTATAGTCAAATTGTACAGTTTTTCAATTTCCCATACCAGTTTTCAGTTCTCTTTTTAGTTGTAACAATAAAATTCTGTTTTTTAAAGAAGGTACATGAGAGTCTCATTGCTTCCTGACTCCTCAGGGCTGGAGCCCCTTGCTGTTGGTTTGAACCTCTTGCAAACCTGGGCTAGCATGGTAACTGGGGGGGTTGTTTGGTAGAGCAAAGTGAGTTAAGTGTTACGGTAAGAGCTTACTCCAGGGAGAACAGCAAGTGGAATCCCATGGCTCTCCCTGACACATACATCTCCCTCCTCTAGTCTTTAGACAGTTAAAATTTTTACTATCTGAGCTCAGGAATCAGTGTCATATAAAAAATTTGTAACTCTCAAGCATGTATTTTTTGCTAGACTTTCAGTTGTGCCTTTACATTAAGCTCTGTTAGGCAGGGATATGGTAGCATACCTGTTTGTTACAGCAGCTGCAGCCATCTAATTTCCATGTTGCTTGAATTAAAGTATTCACCTTTTTGTTTACATTTTTAAGGAATCCTGCAACTGGAAGAGAGGTGCTTGAAAAGAGAATTTCCAGTAGTTAACATGAAGTGATGCTAAAACATGAACTGCCCCTCAGAATCTCTCGGCACTTCAGGTGTAAATCCCAGCTCAGGCTGCCTGTTGAAAAAGATGACTAGGCTGCCCTGTCTCTTGCAAATTATCAGCTCATTCCCTTTCCCCCTTCTGGTGAAGAGAGGACGGGGGAAACAGTGACTTTATCCAAATAGAACAACTTATTTCTCAACAGATCTGTAAATTAAAACTAGAGTTACAGCACAGGTAAGCAGTCTATTATGTTTTACTTTGCTATGGGATAGCATGACCTAAAGACTATGGTCTTGCTATTCAGAGCTTCTCAGTAAAGACTCCCAACAGCATAAGCAAGCTGTGCATTTCCAGACTAAATGCCACCAGCAGAACAGTAGCTCAGCATGTTAACAATGGTACAAGGCTGAGCTTTTCACAGACAGAATATAGAAGGGACTGCACATCAAGGTAAGATGTGTCATTTAAATATCTTAATTCCCTTTGGGGTTTTATTGCCTTATACCTATTCACAATGCTACAAGCACATCAGTGTGAAGCACCTCCAGGCACTTGTCTCCAAAGTTTTTATTAGAATTTTAGAAAAAAGTATGAAATTCAACAAATAAATACTGAGTAGAAAAGTAATATATATCATTTTAAAAAATATATACACACAAGCCAAGCCCTTTCAAGTCATTTTACCTGAAGCCAGGCTTCTCTTTATGACTAACTTCCACTAAATTTAAAAAAGTGTTGACTAAGGAGCCTGACAATGGATGTATGATTGTGATAAGTCTTTAACAAAATTAATCTAAAAAAAACAAAACACAAAACAACTTATACAGAGCTGTCCATATGTCAGACCTGTACATAGCAAATACAATACATACCTTCCTGTTGTAAACTGCTGAGGATATACACTCAGTACATATCCTTGTCAGTTCTTCCTTTAACCTGGCCTAAGTTGCAATGATTATGGAAGAAACTGGCTTTTGAAGTAACAAGCTCTCCTTCTGCAACTAAATTGTACAAGAAAAGGAAATCACCACTAGATTTTTCTAATGCATATGGCAGTCAATGTAAACGATCTGTTTCTATATGGGCTGTTGGAGAGTGAAAATTTATCTCCTCTTTGAGAAATGCCAAATTAATAAAATACTTTATGGGAAAATAGATTATTGATTTACAGTTTGAGTAGGGGCAGATAATTCCAGTGAGATAGCAATTTTAACTCAAGTGACAGCCTTGTTCCATATTCTAAGACATCCCAGCTTTTATTTGTCCAGCACTTGGTATTTCATCATGTGCTGAGAGAGACAATGAGAAAATGTATTCCAGCCTGCTTAGTGTAGACTGCAAACTCTCCCCACTTTGGAAATAAGCCTGTACTCAGTATGCAGCATGTATCTAGCAGGGCGTGAGTAAACCAGACATTGATAAACATCAAAACAAAATCCTCAGGTACCCATCTTTGGCTGTGAGGACAATATGATTCAGTTTCTCATATTCCACAACTAAAATACTGTGATTTCAATTTCAGCCTCTTGTACAGTTTCTCTTAATTCACAGCAAATTTTGTCCATTTTCTCAAAGGCTTGTCGTCCCTTTTCACCTATGGAGAAAGAGAAAATACATCATGTGCTGAGGAAGAGAACCTTGGTCTGGTTCTACAAACTTTAGTGAGAGCCTTTGGTTATTATATCGGGCACAAAGTTTCTAAATGGTATGAAATAGCTGTACATGAAACATTTCCATTGTTCAGGCTGAACTTCAGGCTTGTGCTGGTTCTACACTATTTTACATTACTTTTTCAGAATCTGTATTTCAAAGTTGCACAGAAGACTTACCAAAGGAGAGCGTTGTTTCCCTGGCTGCATTCCTAACTTCCTCTGTTTCAGACTGGCACAGGCAGGCAACCTGCTCAATACTCTCAACACCCTGTTTGAGAAAATATTTGCTTTTCAGCAAGCATTCTGATGGAGATTTTGTGCAAGGTAAACATAAATACTAACAGCCACGTCTTCTGACATCTGAATTCTAACCGTAACCTTTTATTTTCTCCCCCAACACACTACCTTGCAGTTTCTTCTGAGCATGATCTCACCCTCTGCTACCTTCCCTCCTGTTTTGAGGCATGGAAAAGTATAGAAGTGACAATATTGTAGAAATTAGAAAAGATGCTTTCTGCCACTCTACTGTGCCTGTTGGATCCAATTGAGACACTCCAAGATGCCTGCAGCTCCTTCTGCCTTCAGAATAGCAGCACTAATAGCTTGGTCGCCAAATTAATTAATTCCAAATAGAAGGAAGCTAAAAAAGTAACCCTACAAGCTAGGGGAAAAAAAAAAAAAAAGGAAGGAAGGCTAGATACACTTTGGCATGTAGCAATTTTAGCCAGACATGCACAGCAAAAGTACAGCTGTAAAACACTTACTCTGAGATTTTTAAGGGCCAAACATGCAGCTTGCTGAAGTCTTGCATCACAATCAGCTAAAGCATCAGTGTAAAAAAAGAGAGCCTACATGAAAAGAAAAAAAAGGAAAGTCTTTATAAACTGTACTGTAATCAAACGCTCAAATTTAGACTGACATAAGCACTGCTTTACATATCTGAAATGGAATAAAGGATGTAGAAGCCACTTGAACAATGATGTAGTTCAGGTTCTAGTGAATAGTTCATTGAAGTGTGGAGAGGGCAACGGTGCTACTCTGGGATAACACAAGTTCCATGTATTTCAGCACCTGTTTAAGAAAGCTGGCAGAGCTGCAGTCTTTACCTTTTCCCTAAAGTTCTTGTTTGCTGCTGCACGGGAGAGGCAGGATGTGGCTGCTTTGCTGACACGGTGGTTCTCATCTAGCTGTAAAATCCCAAGTAGCCGTAAAGTCTGTGGCAGAGGCTGGAGTTTGTTCAGTCGCTTTCCCTTCAGTTTCTTCAGAGTCTTCAGCCGCCCAGGACACTGCAGCTCCTCAATTAGCATCACTGCAAGTGAAAGGACTCAACTTCACCAACCAACAAATTAAGACATTCCCAGGAGAAGACAAACTCCTCTCTAATTTAGTCTCCTTGTAACCACATGTAGGTATTCACAAGGCTAATAAGTAGCCAAGCATTTGCAGGAAGCAAGTCAGGATGGCTGCCCCTTTGGCCATCCTGTCTTCTTTCCCTTTCATTGTTTCATTTCCTCCTATACCAAGACTGACAAGTAGAGCAGAGATGATTATTTCAAAATATTAGTCCACAGAATGCAGTGAAGCTCCAGCCCTTTTAGGACTGAGGTGCATTGAGTACAATATGTGGTGCAAAAGACTTCCCGCACCTTTGGGCATTAGGACAGGCTAATCCTAAATTAAGGAAAACACAATAAAGGAAAATACTTTTAAATATCTCTGAAAGATGTAGTTGCACTGGTCAAAGACAAAAACCCTCTGTCTTTTAAAAAATAAGAAATCAGGCACTAGATTGACAGTTTCAATTTGAAGAATATTCCAGGTCTTTTTCACTGACTAGCAATGCACAAGTTCTTACTTCCCCACCAGGTGAGTCATCTGCATCAATAAGACTAAAGATGCAGCCAGTGTCAGAAGTATTTTTACAATGACTCTTTTCTGATACAGACTTAAGTTTTAAAGTACTTCACTTTGTTGGATTAGGCTTCAGCAAGACACTGGCTACTTCATGCTAGAAAATGCATATGAGTAACCTCTGGAATTTTATTGCTATTATCTGTGTCTGATTACAGCTGCTATAGTCACACAAAGCTACAGACATTTAATCTGTCCTTGAATCCAGCTGCAGATTGCTGCCAACTTTTTTCTGCTACAACTTCAGAATATCACAGAACTCACTTTTTAGGGCACTGAAGATGAACCCCTGCTTCATTTCTACCTGGTTAAATATAGGAGTCAAGGATGTCTTTCCTGTTCTAATTAAAAGTGCATGGTCATAGGGGAAATTAAATTGTCAAGGCAATGGTTGGGTTGTTTGCTGCTCTGAAAGTGTATTCTCAGTAGTAGCCTGGAAAGCAACAGCCAGCTGCTGGCGAGTTCAAGCAAAGGAGCCAAGTGCTGCCATTACCTTCTTTAGCAAGTTTTCCCACGTGTTTCTCCAGGCTGGTAATGTGATGTTTCTCCAGGTAGCTATAAAATTGGAATAAAGTAACTGTTTCTGTTTGGAGATACAGAGAGGGGAGCAACCCATCACAGGTGGTGATCTGCTCCAGCAACCTCCGCAATACTGAAAGCAACACAGAAAAGAAGATAAAATGAAAGGTTGATTAGATAGAAGCTGCTTAAAACAGTAAGATTTTTTGTTTATTTTTTAAATGCACAAGGGCAATTTTTAGCCATGAAATAAAATTAAGCCAGAGAGGCCTTGTGTACAAGAAACAGACTAGTACCTGCTTCTAATTGACCAGGGTATTTTTCCTTCATTTTGAGTGTCAATGTGTATTTTAATGCATGATGGAATCTGTCTGCTGAAGCAAACAAGATTGTGCCAGGCTCTGCAAGATCACTCCAGATTTTCAGATATTGCTTCTTCTTTTTAGTCTTCTGAATAACTGGGGGAAAAAAAATTAAAATCACATTTTAGTAAGTTTGTGAGCTCTAGCACATTTTGGATTTTACAGGAGAAATTAGGCACCAGATGGCAGATCCAGAGACATGTCAGCATGACTTGTATTTGCATTATAGAGACAACTTTGTTCAAAGCTGGCAAGTTGCTGCCAGTATTTTAACATCTGCAAGCATTGATTTCACCAAGCTTGGGTTGAGCTCATAAACTGTCATTATGAGACTTGAATGAGATGCCTAGCAGCTCTTCTACCTCTCATTATTTGTTTTATCCCAGCATCTGAGTAAAGTTTCAGAAGAACTTTTTGTGAATTCAACTGTTTCCATTCCTATCAGCTAGAGATGTGCTGCTTTCAAGCATTTTAGAGAACTTGTCACACATGCTTTGACAAGTGGAGAACTCTTAACCACAGCACACAGGCTGAGGCAGGCTTTCTTTCATCAAACACTTCAGAAGAGCACTTGAAGGAATTCTCTGTGGTTTCTCACTATCATTTAAACCCTTTGATTTCTCACTCTTACCTACAGAGACACTGAACTTGTGTTTTGCATTTCAGAATCCTACACTTTCCTCATTATATTGTGCCAAGGCCCTTTGGAACCTCACTCCAGGAAACAGTTTATTCTCTCTTCCTTCAGGATAAAATCTGGCAGCACATGCTTCCAACTAAGATTTGCCCTCTTGCCACTATATTTACCAAGATAAGAACAAAAGCCTTCGAAGTCTCCCATTGTGCCTTTATTACTTTGTCATATCCAGCAGTCAATGGAAGAATTTCTTAGGGGGAAGGCCTGCAATGGGAAAAATTGCATACCCAACTTTTCTTGCAAATTCATACAGAAGTGGAGCTGTTTGCCTATTAAGTAAAAGCACAGTTAGAGGGGCAGGATTTTAAGGCTATTCTGCTGTCCTTCGACTGCAAACTCCATCATCTATAACATCATGCTTCTGAGACACACCAGTTCAGCTGTTTCTTTGAGTCAAACTTCTTCAAATCTCTTCCGGCTTTGCAGGGGTAAAACAAACAAATGAACCCTTTTTTTTCCCCAAGAGTATACATGTAAGAGTTGTTTTAATCATGTGAACATTTGTAAGGAATTTAGAATGAAATCCTGATGTGTCTGGAGAAGCTTTAGAGTTCCCTGTACCTCTCATATCTCTGATGTGTTCTGAAATAATGAGGTTACTTACGTTCCTCAACAGACATATCCAAGACATCCCCCAGGACTCGCGTCTGCTCTGTTACTTCTTCCAAAATGCTCTCCTGGACAACTCGGGCTACATTGGGTGATTTCAGTTTCTGAAACGTAACATGCTTATCTTAGTAGCTGAAACAAAGGCAGTATCAAGCTCAAAAGGAATGATTATTTGTTTCTTAAACTTCTAAAACTTGTGAGAAAATACACCAGCTGCTCTCAAAAGGCCTCTTTTCCCATCATAGCAAGGACAGGCCACTTCTGAGTGCAAAGCTGCTCAGCAGAACAGGATGAGTAAATCCTATTATGCTGGAACAGTCTGTCTGACATTTGATGTTCCTCTCTGCCCCTGTACATTGACAACTGTATAGTAGATCAATACTAATAGTTACACTGCCCACTGCTGCCCATCTTCATCACAGGTAATATGTTGAGGACGATAATATGGTTGAGCACTAAAATAAATCGAAGAATCGGGTCTCAAGGGAAGATAAGAGTTCCTTTTTGCCCTACATGCCAGCAGTTTCTTTCTAGTAGGAGCAGGTTTTGGTTCATTAAAAAAATTGATCACCTGTTATCAATACACAATTCAACCTAGATCTGTCCCACTGCATTAGCAGCCTGCTTTGGGCGTAAAGGTATTATCTAGAGCTTCAGCAAAACCCAGAGGCTGAAAAAAAAAAAAAAAAGCAGCAAAGTTTTGCAGGACATGTTCTGTGCATGCACATGTATATGCTGCATTTTTGGACTTAGTTTCTATTCTGAGTCTCTGCTTTTATGAAACAACCAGCTTCATATTCACTTTTGCCTTTAACCAGAACCAGCAAGTACTACCAGTCCCCTGGAAACCCACAGCTACTCCTTACCTGCAAAAGACTTTTGCACAGCTTCAGATGAGTTATCAAAAGGGTGTCCAAGTTGTCATCACCAGTAGTTACCTCTCTTGGTTCTGTTCTCATATCACAGCTCAAGGACTGGAGTGTGTTGTCATTGTTTGTGCTATTGAGATGAGGGGAAAGAGTAGTCAAAACATTACCTCATCACCAAATGAAGATGTGCATCAGTAGCAGGCTCAGTAATAGCTTTCAAGCAAGTTGCAAAAGTACAAACCAGGTGGCATTTAACAGATAACATTTTTTATTGCATTTAAAACACTTCTTAAAAACATGATGACTTTACTCCTAAAACTCATCCCACAACAGTCATACCAAATCAGATGATGCCATACAATCCCATTTTGGAGAATAAATACTAGGAAAAGATGCTTCCAGATAATGAGAATTGAGTTGCTGACTCATTTGCAGCAGATGAACTTCAAAAGCAGCACATGTAACCAGACACCCTTGGTGTTCTCCCAACTTGGTAACACTGGAAGTGTAGCAAGTCTCCCAGAAACAGGCTTATAGCTCTGGAAGTTTCAGTGCTACACAACTTGCAAAATGCAAAATTAAATTTAAAAAAACAAAAAAATGTAGAAGAGCTCTGCTAATTACTTATAGCTCTCTCACTTGCTGCTGAACTGTTCCACATCATCCTGGTAAGCCTGTTTCCTGCAGTCCTACACATTAGGCTTTCCATCTGCAGTGTTTTCCAGAAGTTCAGGTTAAGTTTCCTGCCATTTCAGTCTGGAAGGTATTTGAATTATGAATCTCAAAGTATTAAAATAAATTGGTTTCTACCCTGGATGTTCATACCAATAGCAGCTCTGCACAATCATGACTTAACAAAGTACAGTGTATTGGAAAGTGTTCCTGGGATCAGCCCTCCTTATCCCTTTTCCTTGTACTGCAGATACATACCTGACACTGGCTGTCCTTATGCTTCCAAATAATGAAAGCTCATCAGCACTACAGTCAGCATTCAAAAAGTCAAAACTTTCCAGGACTGTCTCCACCATTAAACTTTCCATAGATGAATGTTTGCAAGGAAGTGGCTTTAGCTGTTGATGGAATAGAAGGAAAAATGTTATTTGTAGTTAACAAACCATTTTGCCTGAGTTATTTGCTCTTTTTTAAGTCACTTAATAAAAAAAAAAAAAAAAGAAATCAGATTGCTTTTATGATTTCATTCTTGACATAGCAGGAAAGTCAGCTTTTGGTACAGCACTCTCATTCCAAAATAATGTTGCTAACTAAATTCAAAATACGCTTGAATACCTTAATCTGCCTGTATTCCTCTTTGGATTCCCATGACTGCTAAGGTTGGTATGAAAGCTGATTTTCTCTGCATCTTCTGCCAGTAGTGCAATTTTCACTTATTCTGTTTCACAACTAGAAGAAGCAATCTTAGGGGTCCGTGGCATCCTAGCAGAGTATCAAGAACTTTGATATCAACAGTGGATTTCATGATGCCACTAACTTTCTCCCCCCTGGAAAGGCTGCTTTGAGAGCATGGGTTTGTTGGTTTGGTTTGTGTTGTTGTTTTTTAAAATTTCTATTTTTGAAGTGTCTTACACTATGTTGTCTCCCAAGCCTGTACACTAGCCCCATGTACTATAATGATACTAAATTTACAATATAACCCACTGCTTGCAGAAAGCTCTTCTCCAGGACTTTTTATCTGAAGAAATAAATGCTTTCAGCACCATATGACTTTTCAGAGAGACTGAACTGTCTGAAAAAGCTAGGTGATTCTGGAGAAACATTAGAGCTGATTCAGTCATCTCAAGGTATAGTATACCTGAAAAATGTAAAAAAAAATAAAAGAAAAAAAAAGCAGAGGCTCTGACATACAATGCAGATTCTGCTTATCCCAGACAAGTTTCCACTTTGCCTGTAAGCAGTTTCTTAATTTATTTTCCCAGATTATTGATCTGCACACAGCATTTGAAGGCTGCCTCCGAGAGATGCTGTGTAGCACAGTGCTCCTGTGTAGCCAACTCTCAACGCTGCCTTTCCTGAGCAGTGCCTGACCTCTGGTGGCCAAACTTACTTTTTGGAAACATGCCATTGATACATCAAGTTAAATCCAAGAGAGACACGGAACTTCCACGGTATCAGGAGTAACAGTGGAAGCTGCCACCTACCAAAAGTAAAACACTAACATACCTTTAATTTATCCCTCAGTGATGAAACCTGGTATTCCAGTTTCTCCAGCTGGGCTTGGCCAACATCATGTAATTTCAGTAAACTTAACACTTCTTGAAGAGTCTTATCCATTGACTTTGTATGCCCATCTAGTTTTAGCTCATTTGCAGCATTCAAGCTTTTCTGACTAACATCTTGGTCTGCCAGATGGAGAATTCTGGTCTGGTTGAAAGAATCTCTGGTCCCTCTATGGTGATTCAGAAAACTTGATGGCTTATTTGGAAATCCATCCACACATGGAGTCTTCTTCAGGATATCTAGAGTCGTGTGATTTGGAAGAGGATGCTGTCGCTCTTCTGCACAAGTCTCTTGGATAATCACCAATGGCAATGTCCTATGGTTTAGAGCCGGAGTTGTATTTCTGGATTCTGTCCCCTTCTGATCCTCAGAGCTGAATGAGTCTGCCTCACTTGTCTCAGCAGGATTGTGAGGCTTACTCTTCCCATGTACATCAAAATCACAGGCAGCCAAGTAGCTCAATATGCTGGGAGGCTGAGCTTCATCACTGACATCCCCTTGGTTCTGACTTTGCTGCAAAACAGACTGCAGCAAACAGAACAGTAAGTGAGCACATACAGAATTGTAAAGCATGAGATCCCACCTAAGATAGAACTATGGTTTCTCATTCTTCGAAAAGGACTCACCCAATCTGATCAAAACCAAAGGGTTCTCCTGAACAAGGGAGCCAGGCCAGCACAGACTGTACAAAAGAAACTACTGAAACAAAGTATTAAGAGCCTACTGGATGAACTAAGTGGAGCAGTAGTAACTGCACTTTAGATCTTTCAGAATAAAATTGCCAAGGCAGCTAAAAAATTGTTTCTGGAAAAAGAACCTGACCAAGTAGCTCTTGTGCTATGTGAGCTCAGGATAGGATGTGAACACAGTGGTTACAGGAAAATGTTCATTTTTAAGAGTCCAACATACCCTGTACAAACACTGAACCTTTCTGAAGAAGACTGCATATTCTGCTGCCTTGGTGAGACAACACCAAACCTGACTTAGCCTTGATGTCAAGGGAACATATATGATGTTATCAGTATTTGAGATGTATGGCAAAATTAACAGGATCATACAAAATCAAAACAAAAACCACTAAAACAAAACCCTCTTTACTGAATGAGAAAGAGGACAGGTTTTTCTATTCCCCTGGGCTACACTTGGTAAAAGCAAGGTTGAGAAAGAGGAAGGCTTGTTTCACATACCATCTCTAAGGCACCATTCTGCTCCATGGCTACTGGGGCAGCCTAGTTTGTAGTTTGATTCCCCTTGTAGACTATTAGAGCAAATGCTCACATCCTACCATTCTGCCTGCCAAGAGGAATATTTGAGCAGGTTGTTTTTAATTTACAAGATCAAAAATGGAACTCAAAATAACAGGAATTAAAAACAAAGCAAAGCCCCAAAATAAAGGGCAGCAGCCTTGGACTGCTGCGCTGTCACACTTCTCATGTGCTCTTCAACAGCCTGATCTAATGCATTGAGTCTGTGCTTTGCTTTCCTCTGCATACTCACCAGGTAGTATTTCTCTCTGAAGCTGGGAGTATTTGGTGGGGTCCAGTTGTATAAAGAGCTCTTCCTGCTACTCACAGAGAACTTGGCAGTGGATCCAGGTGACAAAAACAGGTTCTCTGTGTCAAAGGGGCTGTAGCAGAAGACAAAAAGGCCTAAGTGTCAGTAAGACCAGAAAGCACAGAAATGTTGAGCAGCAGGAATAGCTGTTAGGATTTTAACTCTGATATTTAGTGAACAACACAAAAGAGGAAAACAGAGAGACTGCCTCTCTGAACATTATCTATGTTGCACAACCAGAGAAAGAGGTAGGTGAAAAGGTTGTGTTTTACACCTAATTCTAAACACCCTTTAGAGGGAGACCTGTGTCACAGCCTTTGGAAGAAGAGTCCAATAGGTCAAAAGTCTGAAGTGCTTTCTCTCCTTCTGCAGTGTCCTACACAGACACCAGTGCTGACAAGTACAGTATAGGCTGCTTGCTGACAGCCACTGGGCAGCTAGAGAGACATACACCATACCAGACAGAAAGGAAATATAACACATGTAACAAAGGAAAATTGTCATTAATTTCCCTCCTGCAGAGCACACACTACTTGGAAAGCCACTAAAAATGCTTCATTATCCTTCAAATATGAATAAACATCTCTTTTTGCTGGCAGAGGAAGTTTGTGCAGTGGCAAATAGTGTGGTTCATACAGTCATGGATGAGCCCAGTGATAGCCCCAGAGGACACTGGCTTACGGTCTGCAAGAGTTTGACACGCCCTGATGCAAAGACTCCCTAACTACCTACTACATCACAGCTCTTAGTTTCCCAACTCCTTTTTAAAGCAGTCTAAGGAAACCTGGATGAACTGTGTCCCAAAATGAACTCAGTTAACCAGGAGAGGGAAAACATTTAAAGTTAAGTAAAGCAAGTTTGGGTTTTCTGCATGTTACTTTTGTTCCCCACTGATATGCCTTGTGACACCAAAAGTTCGGTTTTCCACTTAAGCACTGGCAGTTTGAAAAAAAGTGAATTGTTATAACAAGTATGAAATCTCATCAATACGAATATGATGACCAAAGAGCAGGATAAAGTCAGCTGCATTTAGCAGTAGGATATAGAACCACTAGAAGTTTGAAAAGATCCAAACAATAATTAGGACTAATCAATTACAGAGAAATTAACTTGTGCTCTCTAGCAAACATTGAAAAGCAGAGCTGCAATTCTCTCTAGCTTCTCATGTTGCATAGGGACAATTCTCAACAGCATTCTGCAGTGCAACACACCACTGTCTTCCTCAGCATGGAGGCGATGTTCTGTGAGCTCTCCTTATACACGTTAATTGGCTAAATTAACCAGTGTTACCCAGCTGGGGTTCATTAAACAGGTCAGTTCCATGGATTCACTTAACTTACCATCTGCATTGTCTCACTATGAAGAAAATAAATCAGGTTTTTGACAGCAAGAGTCTTTCAGCCAAAGCTTGATATGTTACTGATGGAAGCAAATTACTCTCATCCATAGCATTTCTTAAGAAGAGTCACAGGGATCTATTCCATAGATTTTTCATTTTTAGCTTTTAATATAGCAATGCACTAATGCAAAATAACAATTTGGATGAAAGGGACAGGAATAACAAGCTAAACCTGTTTTGTCTCTTTGACAATTACTAAAACCTTCTAGCTAAAAGCAGCTATTCAGCTGCCCTCCAACCAAGTACACGCTCCCCATTACTGCAAGATAACAAGAGAGCAAAATGAAGTCTGCTTTAAAGTATCTATTATCTCTTGATGGGAAGCTCTTTGGGCATGATCCATCATCTTGTTCCACATTTGTACAGTAAACAAAACATTATACTGGGACAGATCTATGAATCCATCTCTCCCAGCACCTTGACATTGACAGAAGCCAGCAGGGGGAAAAACATAGGAAACAAGTCAAATATAGTAGGCTTTCCCCAGACACATACTCAAACTTCAGGCAATCCACAGCTTAGATCTGTCATGCACCAGACTTTGCAAGCAGACTATTGCCTTTAATTGTCACACTTTTCTTTAGTTTGTCTAGTTACTTCCTGAAATCATTGACAAAAAATCCCTGTGTACATCAAAAGTATGCAGAAATTTCATTGTTTAACTTTACATTGTGGAACAAGTACTTTAACTTGGAGGGTGTTGTGTGTGTGTCTCTGTGGCTGTACTGAGAGAAATAGTGGCTAATACCTTATATATTCCCCATAACAAACATCTATATGCTTGTACAGTATTATCCATTAACACCTTTTCAAGACTGAAAAATTCTATTAAAAAAGGGAAGTGGTCCCACACCTCTGATCATCTTAGTTGTCCCCATTCTACAGAGCCAAACATGTTGGCCTTTGGTTGTGACTAATTATTACAATGTTGGCATTACACGCACAACACTACAATGCCATCATTGTCAGGGCCCATGTAAAAGCAGCACATAACACCCCTTCAGCTTGCCTTAGCATACTTCAGTGTTCAGGTCTGAAACACATGCCCAGCCTGACCCTGAAGGGTTTACAATTCACCAGAGCTCATGGTTCCTAGATTAAGCCTCCCACAACACTAGAAGCTTTGCATCCACAAACATTCAGGTGCCTCAACTTTGTCAGTATTGAGCAGATTCCAAGAGAGATACTATTCTTTCAAAACCCCCAAACCTGTGAAGGGATTAAATATTTGAGATTTCCACTATTTTCCATCATTCTGCTGCATTTTTCTACTGGGTGTGTAAGGAGGACACTTCCTGGTTTATATTCTCAGAGAAACATAAGTTATCAGGCACAGCATATAAGAGCTGAACTCAACTCAGTCTTCAACCCAGGGGATCTGCTTTCTTTCCCTCACTACCAAGACTGTGCCCTAGTCACTCCCCTTCTGTCCCACTCCTCTAGGTATTTAACACCACCAGGCCAGAAGGGCTCTTGGTGGATAGACCTGTCTGAGTGCCACTGCCGAGCCTGTGAATACAAACTTGCGTTAATACCAAAAACCAATTCTGGTCAACTGCATTAGACTTGCTATTAATAATGAAATTTCTTTTTTTCCCCTATTGACACAGGTGAAAATCCTCATGCAGCTTTAACAGTGGGATTGTTGCTAGGTTTCTCCTACCCATTAAAGCATAATAAGCACCAGTTTCAAGGTTAGCACAGCTTATCACAAGACTAAGCTATGAAACATCAGTTCTATCAAAAGCAGAGATGTTACTGCCCAAAGATCCCAGCATGAGTAACTACCTGCTCATGTAAGATTTCATATTTAAAAACAAGACTATGAGTAGGTATGTATCCAAGAAATCAGTTTCCTTTTTTTATTCTCCCTTAAGGTTTCGGGTTTTTTTTTCCTCCTACTCCATGGACCCTTGTGAGCCAGGCCAGCACAGGCTCCAAGCAAGCAGAAATTACAAGAGCAGTTCTGGCTGGATGGTGCCCTTAGATCCCAGGACAGGGTGCTAACTGAAATTCTGAAAAAAGAACACAGGCTCCCTCTTTGTTCTTCATGTGTGTGTGAGAGAGAATTCAGACTGCTGTTTAGGTTGGCAAAAAAACCAAAGTCTTCTGCCAAACTGGCCAACAAAGCCATCCTGCAACTGGCCCAAGCTCATTCACACACATTCAGAGGTGTCTAATCTATAAAGGAGTTGAAGGAACTTCTGTTAGAGCCCAGAAGACTAGTGGCCTATTTAAAGGCAATACACATTTAGAAGTGGAACAGTGACCTACATTTGGATTTCTCACAAAGCAGGTCTAGTTTGAGAGCTTGCCTCTCAGAGAAGTTTGGGCAAATCAGCTGAATTTGTTTAGTAATTCTTAAATCAAAGCAAAAAGCAGCTGTTATTTTGAGTGTCCTGACTTTGAAAACAGAAACACCCTAAGTTATCACCACACAACTTTTCTGTAAACAACTTCAGCAAACAAGCTGTTAAAGAGGAGGAGCCTGGCAGTTCTGTGCAGAAGTGCCCTGGAGAAATCTCTTGGTAGGATACCAACACATTTCACAAAACTTAAACACAGTAGAGACATGCAGCCAGACTTTTCTCATAAGCTAAAAAATTCCAAGTGGGGATTAACTCCCAAAGAAAGTATGTCACCACTAACCCTGCTCCCAGTTCAGCTGTTGCCAACTCTAAAAGCTGGGCGATGGTTGTTCCACATGCCATGGAAGTGCCCATCTTGCCCATCAAAAGTTGCACTCTATGCTGCAAGCTACTGCAACAATCAAGTGTCAACATAATTTAAATGGTGTTTTTTTCAGAAAATTTAGTCACAAATATAATTTGTTCTGGAGATTTAGGGTGTTATCTGAGAAACTATGCAATATTCCAGAAGAGGAATATTTTTGCAATATTTCCTCTTGCAGTCCTTTTGAAAGAAGAATTTATGTGCATAATTACTTATGCAAGTCATCGACAGTGAGGAAAGGCAAGTAAGCAGATTCAGCAAAAGTAGATTAAGTGAATTTATCCATTAGATGCAATTTGTGTGGATTAACAAGACGAGAGTTAGTGATCTCTTCCAAACTCCACTACAAATATGCTATCTGCAAAAAGAGATTCTATACCCAGCTCAATAAAGATAGTGTCTCCTTCACTGCACAAGTGTAGCTTCTTAACATGTCAGGCTTGGGGTCACAGGAAAAAAGGACTTCCCTTCTGAGAAGAGCATCTCTGCAAGCAGAAGGTTGTGCCTTCTGTCCTTTCTGCTCCTAAACCACATCGAGAGCTTTTGATCATTTTACATTCAGATTAAAGCCAATGCAAGTTTTGGTGGCTTGTGTTTGTTGCAGGGTGAGAGGTGACAAAGGCATCAGAGTTTGCTGAAAATATGTAAGAACCTTTATATCCTCTTCTTCTCTCCTCACTACTATATCATGCAACTTCCACCAACCCCATTCCACACAGATTTCAGTAACTCTACCATGAATATCTCTGCTTCCAATGGGAATACATATGTAACTTGGCATCAGAAAAGGGAAGTTTCATAGAGCATATAATGCAAAAATCACAGCAAACTGCTGGAATGAGGCTTTGTTACCCAACTCATTAGTGCTTCATCTTCCCAAATAAGAAACACAGGCCTCAAAAAAGTCTCAGAGCAGCTGCAGCACCTCACCAAAACAAATATTGATGCCCAGTGTTAGATCTCAGGAGGAAGAAGTATCAGAAGCAACAGGTGGTGGCAAAAGGCTACTGGGTGTTTATTTCTCATTGACTGGGAGCAACATGTTTCTGAAAAGAATGTTCAGATGCTGTTGCCAAGACTCACGTTTCAGCCCAATTCCATGTACAAGTCAATAGTAAATGTCAAGAACCACACTCTACACAAAAGACATTTGCAAAATAGTATGTTGATCAATAAAACTTTTCTTTCCAAAACCCCAGAAATGCAATTTGAAAATTGTTTATCAACACTTGAACAAGAATCACAACACAAACTTTGTGGCATTTCTCCTGCTGGTGGCTTTTGACTGGGGCTTTCAAAGGTAATTAAAAGTAGGAAGAGTATTAAGACCTGAAAAACGAAGTCTGATTGTAAAGTACTTTTGGTTACTTTACCCTAAGGGCAGGGAAGCCTTTCTCTTGCTGAAAGACATGTTTGGCCCTTGGGAATATTTGGCAACCCATACATTCAACACATACAAGGGTGGGTGGGGTTTTTTGGTTTTTTTTTTGTTTGTTTTTGTTTGTTTTTTGTTTTTTTATTGTTTTTAGGTATTTTTTAAGAAAACAAGAAACCAGCATGGCCAGAAGGAAAAGAGCTGTATAAGGCTGAGTCATAGGTGAGTCTGGTCTGCAAGCCATTGCTCCCTGCTCTTCCTAATCTAAACACAGTTAAGTTTCTGCTTTTCCTGGAAAGTCCCTAAATCCACAAGTCATCCCAAAGGGGCCTTTCAAGAAGATTCTTTTTATGAAGGTATGTTCACATGCCTCTTTGCCATGTTGGGTAGGACTGAGGACTGCAGTAAGCCATATAAAGTACAAGTGAAGAGTGCCATTAAAAAGAAATATTAGTATGACTTGAAAAATTTATGGCTCTGTGTTTAGAATGAGGAAGGAGTTCCAGTGCAGCATCCACCAAAGTGAGAATTTGCTTTTAATACCATCAGTGATCAACTACAAAAACAAATTTACAAATTTGAATTATAAAACGATTTAACAAATCACAGGCAGCATGAAAATCCTCAGCTATTTTGAAAGTGCATCTGCAACGAAGCTTCTCTGTAGTGCACAAACAGACCTTATATTGATAACTAATCACAGTGCAAACATGAAGGTGCTAAATCTTTGGGAAAGCTTAATTTTTAACAAATTGTGGCCTTATAACAGTGATGGCCCTAAAATTTCAACTACATATTTTTACACTGTGCCTAGAAGCTTCTATATTCGGTTTCATTTAATGATCTTTTAAGATTATTGTTTATGCTTTACAGATGTACATGCATTGCTTGGAGCTAGACTTGAATGCTCATTCTGAAGACTACAGAGTTAAGTCAAAGCCTACTAATCAGGTCCTGTGTGTAGCCATGGCTCCTGTAACATCAACACAAAGAACTGGAGGGTCACAGAAACAGCTTCTGCCTCTTCCCCCCTCCCCTTCCTGAGGACTGGTCCCACAGAGTCAGAGACCAGGCACAGTGGCTCAGGTTGCTGTGAGGAAGCATGTGGCTGCTATCTATCCTGCACCTGCTCTGCAAATAGAAAGAGGACTATGGTGTTGAATACTACTAAGCAACATCCTTAGGAGCTTTGGAGTTATTTCAAATACTTAGCTCCAGCATTTTTCATTTGAAGCTGTACTTACTTCCAGAGGACTTCCAGCTGTAGCTTGATGGTGCCCAGTTCAGTTATATCCACAATGATTGCCTGAGGCTTGGTTGTAAAGAAGCTGATGGTGTCACATGTCACGACACCAACTAGAATAGTGGCCAGTCCTCGCAGCTCTGTCACCTGCAGGGACAAACATACCCATTTTCATCTTACCAGACAATCCTAAGTCACAAGCATGGAAAGGAGAACATCCCAGGTTCACATCTACTGAGGCCCACAACAAACTTTAAAACCTTTATTATGAGTTCTGGGCTTCTAAACTTTTTGTGAGCCTATATCCCCACAAGGAGTATGTCACAGATGGCTAGAGAAGAGGAAAGAAGCTGGGCAGAGAAAGAGTTGTACAGTCCTTCTGACAAGAGGATTGGATAGGCTGTGATTTTAAGCAAACCTAGTCTGAAATTTGGAAATTCTAGATCTGGTATACATACAGCCAGTTGCCATTTATAGTACAGAGTTTAGCTTGTCTACTAATCAGAACACTGTCAGAAAAAAAATATAGTACAGCAAAGTATACTAACCTGCCTACTCTAGACTGTTTCAGCTCTTGATTGTCTAAGGAATCTGAAAGCACAAGTGCCTGCATCCACTGTGACCCTTCTAATTGTCCTGAGCTCAGCTACAGACTTCAATCAGAACTTGTAAGTGTCATTTCTCTAGCTCTGCAGGTAGCTCTGAGTTTGTTATTAATGCACTTTCATGTCTGTGTTTTTTTTCTAGCCTGGCACTTTGCTTCTTCAGCAACTTAAAAAAAAAAAAATCTAATCTAACATTTGATAGAATAAAGTACTTCCAATTGAAGATCAAATTGTTCTACAATCACATAAAGCAACAGAATCAGCACAGAACTTCAGCACAAGTAACTAAAGTCCACCAGGAATTAGTTACATGCCTACATCTCCTTTAAGAGCTAGCAAAAATTTTGTTGCTAGGCTCCTCTTGGAACACTCTTTGGCACTCCTCAGTTTTCTAAAAAAAATGTTTAAGCTTGCTATGTATTTGTACTGGGCGAAGATTACTAAAAAGAAAGTAGAAAGAGCAGGAGAATGTGGAGAAGTCAGTAGACTTTCATAAGCTGACAAAAGGAGCAAAGCTATTGTTGTCAT